TATAGTTTATTTTCACTCATATTTTTGTGGATGCTTAATGAAATACTCTATACACAACATTTCCAGGGGTTTTAAAGGTCCAGTGTGAAACATTTAGGAGGATCTACTGGCAGAAATGTGATATAATATCCATATAAATGTTTTTAATAGTGTATAATAACCTGAATAAAGGAACAGTTGTGTTTTCTTTCCCTCATAATCTGACGTTTTTATCGATCTATGTATTTTAATACACGTTAACAGGCCCAGTTAGATGAATGTATTTCTACCTGTCATTGTTCTTTTAAGGCCTAAAGCAGACTGCTGACTGTGGAGGTGCTTGGTGTGGATTATTCTTCCCGTACTGTGCTGGTTTTCATGCAGCAGCATTAAGAGAAGAGAGGGGGGCTACCTGGGGCCGCGCTCACCTGTGCACTGCTGTTGTAACCGGCGGATCTCTGCGTGTAGCCCCTTCAACGTGCTGGCGTGGTCCTGCTGGAGGAAGAGCAGGTTCTTCTGCGCGCTGTGCAGCTGGTTCTCCAGTGTAACGTTCGCTGACGCCATGGCTGATTTACGTTCCCAACCTACAGACACAGAAAACAAGGAGAGGCGATAAACAACAGTCACAAACACGCCGTTAATTCTCACTCCTTCGCCCATAAACATCTGGGCGAGCGCCAACTTCGCCCTGTCTGCCAACTGGCCAAGACAATCTGCTTTAGATGACAGATCGAACTAATCACTGCAGGATAATACCGTCAAATCCTTCCACAATGGAGGCCGTTGGGCCCTTCAGCTGACCAGGCGAGGGGAAAAGTGTAACTCTGTTAGAGCAGCAAACGTGGGAGAGAAGGAATGCACATTTATTAACATGCAGAGAGTGTGTGTGTGTGTGCTATCATCATTAATAAAGCTGTGCCAAGAGAACGGCTGAGTGACCATAAACAGGCTGGATCTGTTTTCTTGCTGTAATTAGCAACTGATCACTGCTATTGATTGAGAACCTGAGAGTGAGCGCCTCCAAAACTCCACGCCTGAAAGGTAACACTAATCGAATACACACTAATCTAATACACACTGTATATTGTAATTTCATTAGAGCACAACAGTGGAAATATTCTTCCTCTTCCTCAGCAGACAGACAGGTGAGGAAATAAAGTTTAGTTCTTACACTGGAATTAAAGATTATATATATATATACACAAGAGTCACTGCTACTGGAGCAATAACATCTCAGACCAGAGTCTATTGACAAAACTGAGCATTTAAAAAACACTTAAAACTGGACAGAAACAAAATAAAACTCCCCAAAAGTGTTTGTATTAGTCTTTCCAACAATCAATAACGCTGGTTTGGTCAGAATAAACTCTTAATACACAGTTATAGCCAAACAGGCTGCAACGACAGCGATGTAATCCTTGTGCCCGTTAGAGTTTGTTCCACTAACAGTAGTTGTTGTTTGTTCCACTAACAGTAGTTGTTTGTTCCACTAACAGTAGTTTGTTGTTTGTTCCACTAA